TTTAGCGAATTTTCGGTTTTTGGCTTATAATATGTATATTGTGTCTGGCAAGGGGTGTCCAAAAAATCTGAATGATTGGAGCACAGGAAGGATAATTAAATTAAATTTTAATAAAATTTTGCCTTACGTTTTACGCACAAAATTTTTAAGCTGCTCTTAAAAATGTGACTTTTTAGAATTACTTTTATGTTTTGAATGTTTCCGGTTTTCAAATTTTTTTGACTGTTTTCTTTTCAAATGTTTTAAGTTTTTGGATTTTATTTTCAACTCGAATTTTGTGCGGGGAAAATGCGTTTTGGTCGATCACGTGTGATCACTTCTTTACCAGTTTATTGTTACAAACATAATTGCTCGCTGATGTAATGGTATAAGTGGAAGAGGAAAATGGAGCAATTAAAAATTTGCACGCGATTACTCTCATAACCTCAAATTACTTAATGAGTGTAAAATAATATTAAAACGGTTAATACAGGAAATATGGGAAGCAGAAGGAAATATTATAAACTGACCACTAAAAATATCTATTATTTTTCTTACATCTTTAAAAAGTAATTTTTTACATACTCTTTTTCATTAAGAAATTCAAGCCAAACATATTCGATAGAGGTTTAAAAGCTCTCAAAAAAAGCTGCTGTATTATATGGATACAAACGAATTTACAAGTAAAAAGAAAAAAAAAATAAACAAATAGCACGAAAAAATAAACACAGTCGATAGAAAATGCGAAAAAGATACACACATTTTTACCTTCGTCGTTATTTTCCTCCTCATTGTTTTCCTTTTTCTTCATCATTTACCTGTTTCCATTTCTCGCATTCTCAACTTAGGATGCTTATTTTACCTGCTTAAATGATTTATTGCTTTTCAGTTTTTTTTTTTCACCAACCACATAAGATATAAAGCAGAAGAACAATGCTTTTTCAGCATAAAACATTTTTCCACTTTTCTCCTTTTTACTCGTTATATGTATACATTACACACATCATAACGTAGGATGGGCTCATGGTGCGCAATGAACGAAGATTTTTTTTAAAAGAATTATAGAATGAATGCTCATTTAATATACCTGCTGCTGTTTCATTTATGAAAGGTTCACTGTAATAATTTTCATGTGATAAATCATTAAGCTTGTAGGAAGAAATCATTTTTCAGCAAAGGTTAGGCGAAATAAAGTCAATTGATGACAAAGTGTGTATAAAAGAGGTTACAATGTGAAAAAAAAATAAATTGAAAATTTATTATCATCATTTTAACATTAAAAGGCATTATCTTTACGGATTTTTCATATTTAGATACAAAAGTGATCAAAGCGTGTATGTGGAACTAAGAAAACAGTTCACTGTGAAGCGTGAGTAAACGGACAAGAAACAACAATACATAAATTTTAATAAAACGCTGCTTTCTTCCCTCTTCCTTTATCTCTCTGAAATATCGCTAGTTGACATCTCCTTTATTTATAGTTACCGCTTGTTTTTAAAAACAACAAGAATTTATTTTCCTCGGACACTTAGGGTCGCAATAAACTTGCAAAATATGCTTCAAATTTACAGCTTAAGTTTTTGTGTTCGTGTTTGTTCACCATGTCAGCGAAAAAAAAATTAATATGCCTAGTTGCTAGATGTGAAGGAATACCAATGATGCAATCTTAAATGATTTAAAAAAATAAGTTTTGATTACAAACAAATTTCTTTATATTCGAAGACTTCACTTAGTGCCATCAAATTTCAATTTAAAAAGAGTGAATTTAAAATTCATACAGCAATAGAGTTTATGATTTTTTTATCAAATTTTTGTATAGTTTGTGAAACATTAATAATTTAAACAAAAACATTTAAGACTATTTTATGTGAAACGAGTACAAAAATTATCTTCTACATTAATTCCAAGAGCAAAAAATTCAAGGCATTATGGGAGGAGAAACCATAAATTTTGATATTCACAAAACTGACTGAAGTGGCAAAAAGCTTCACGTTAAGAATGAAAAAAAAGCAAAATTTTAAATGTAAAACATAACAGCCCATCTCGTTAACATTTTTTAAAAAGATACATTGCTTAAATCATTCTTCTAGTAGATCAACAAGTTTCATCGTTTTGATCAATCTATGAATTCGAATTGTATTTGCAAAAAAATCTCAGCATTTAAAAAAAATAAGAAAATGTTTAAGATTTATGTAGAAAAATCTACCAAGAACGAAGTTTTGAAAGCATTTGAAGTATGGGGCTTTAGCATTATTCGTATCGCTGTTTGAAAAAAAAAGAATCCATAATATTATAGCTATTGAATACGTGAATCATTCATAATATATTCTAAATCCTCTAGATAGACATTTTCACTGATAGCAAACTCCATTGGTAAAGTACGAAGAAAAGAATGAAAAGGGTTTGTATTTTACCATGCACTAAAAACGAGTTAACAATTGGATATAGAAGAACACGAAAAAAGTAGAAAGCTTTCAAGACAGCAACGATGTAAAAAATCACTTCTTTCACAAAAGGATTTTCTTGTTATTTATGTTCGCCTATCTTAGCAAGTTAAAATATAGAAGAAAAAAAAAAGAGGAAAAATAAACTTCCGAAGGGTCCATAATTCTAATGAAGTTCCTATTTTCTTATGTATAAAGCGATAAATTTCAATGTTATGATAAGCACCAGTAAAACAACACGACAGTGAAACAAAAATTTCTTTAAACCTTCCTTTTTTCGTTAGTTGTATAAAAAAGTGAGAAAAAGGATAAGAATTTTACGCCTTATACTCCACTTACTGTGGATAATATGATCATCATATACACGAAAATACCCTCAATTTTGAAAGAAAAAAAAAACATAACAAAAATTTATAACAAACCTCAAAACTCACTCCCGTGACATTCATAAAGGAAGCCTAATTATTAAAGCTGTTAATAAACTTAGTTTTCAGACTCATGATCAGTCCGTATCCTCATTTAATTCTTTAAAATGACCCATAATAAGTAATTTTTACTTTAATAGATGCCATTCTAAAAAAACAATAAAAATCCATATAATTAATTAAAAGTGAAACTTATAAATGTCTGTTTTATATCATGATTGATAATAATAACATTTATTTCCTAGGATATCATAAAATTCAACTTTTATTATTATCAATGCGAATTATTTTTCTTAAAAATATTTTAAGCCAGGATTTAATAACAAACCTCAAATTAAATTCACTTTATAGCAGTGGTTTCCGAACTGTGAAGCGAAAAAAATTCCAAACATAAAACTGGCCCTATGTTTTCATGGTTTGTGACTTCAAAAAGGTAATGAAAATCAACTAGTATACCGCAAAAATTTTTAAGTTGAATAATGCTATGTTGACCAACGCTTGAGAAACACTGCTCTATAGTGTTCATAATGCCCGATATGAAGCAAAGCAAAGCTCAATTTTCTTTCGAATTCAGTCTCGACTTTTTTGTATAGTAATTTTCATAATAAGCTTTTGCAACAACATCGTGCAAACTAAAAGAAAATGAAGCTGTATTGTGAAACAACCTTTTGTGCATGAAAAACAAAAGTTTTGTGATTTAATTAGATTACAAAGCGTTTCTTTCACCCCATATAAAAGTTCCCTATATCCTTCCCTTACGTCAACTTGTAATAAAAGTGATCATGATGATTATGAACCATAATGACAATTCGAAATTACAATGTTTTCTGAAACAAAAGTTATTAATGCAGAGGAAACCTTCAAAGCCACTGAGAAGTTTATGTTGAAAATAAGGAAGAATCAAAGGAAAAACTTTTTTAAAATGCTGACTCGAGGGAAAAAGTTGTAAAATTTAAACATTTAAAAAGTTTTGTTTTAAAATTTCTTTGATACGCATTGAGAAAACTAAATAAATTTTTAAAAACTTTTGTTTTCTTGCATTACATTCTTGCCACAATGCGATACAACTTTGTTTTTAAAAATATATAATTTCTTCTTCCCTTTTGAGCAGAATTTAATACAAAAAATTTTGAATTCAAGTAAATACCTTTCCATTCATTTTCTTTTAGAATTCAAGGTATGTTTTTTAATGAATCATAAAATTTTCATAATTTTAAAATCCTAAACTCCTCATAATATAATAAAAAAAATAAAGAGAATTTTTTCAAAAATTTTTTCCTTTGAAATATATTATCAAAAATTTTGGCTGAATAATTATGAAGCTTGCTAGCAACTCTACATTAAATGAATTAAAAGAAGCCAAAAATTTAATAAAAAACAACATAAAAACTAATAATTATTTCTAAAACATGACAACAAACCATTAAAATGCCACATGAAGAGAAGTAAATAATTATTTTAAGAATAAGAAGCGATGAAATGAAGAGCATTAAATTATAAGAAATACAGAATTAGAATATCACATTGTGTGTCGTTAAACCATTAAGAACAAATAGCAAATTACTTACAAAAAATTCTCTGTTATCAAAAAGGAAGAAAATATAACGAAAAACTTTTTTAAAAGTTTTCCCACTTTCAGCATGACTGCTAAGTAAAATAACGTGTAACAGTAAAATGAGTTTACATTAAATTTTATAGCTTTCTGTTTTAATTAATGCCACATTTGCTACCTGTGAGTCTGATATAAAACAACTGAAAAATATAAATTAAAACTTTCCACATCGTTGTCAGGCAAGCGAAAAGCACAACTATGGACACTTTTGTTGCTTCATGTACACGTGAATGTTTATTGTTTGCACCAAATCAAACATGACTGCACGCTAGAGAAATTCTCTCAATATATGCATATTTTCAAGCTTGTAATATATTTTAATTAAATGAATTTTTGTTTTCCCAAAATTATTTTTTTCAACTAGACTTGTTATCGGCGTATTATTCTGTCGGAAAGTTTTACTCCTCTTATTTTTTTTATGTAAAAGCAATTAACAAAATTTCATAGCAGTTTGAAGTAGGCACTTATGCTTGAGTTTAAACTGAAATGTAATTATTTGGAGATTGTTCTCAATAAAAACTACAGCTCAAAGTTCTTCTCAAATGAACGGACTGTATTTAATCTCTAATTCTTTCAATGATTACAAAATGAAAACAATTTTACAATGTTTCAAAATTCTAAAAATAATTGAAAATATCCCATACGTATGTATTACTTTAAAAGCATATATGTATAAGGTGCTAAAAAATTATATGACTACTTATTCTCCTCTATCCTTCTCATTCTTTCTTAACCTTAAATATCCCACCATGAGTAAACATAATCCAACAATGATGAACAGTCCTGATATCCAAAATTGAATTCTAGGAAGGGTGTTTATAGAGAAGTTTAGTAGAGAGACTATTATTGGAGATAAGCCATCTTGATACTGTTAAAAGGAAAGGGAGAAAATAAACTTGATAAAGAATTTAAATAAACATTAATTCTTGTTATTTGTTGTTACATATTCCAGCCAAAACATTGGTATAATCATGTTGGAAAATCTTGCAAAATCTGATTTATAGCTTGACAAATCCTTTAGAATCACATTACTTTGAGAAACAGCCTTTTGTTTCATTGGCACACCATAATTTGGTTCGACTATTGTATAGCTGTCGTGGATACTTTCATTTGGTGACAGACCTTCAATGTATTTATCCCAAGGACCAGAACGTTTACAAAAGTGTGGAAATGATGCAGCAATCGGTTGATCTGAATACGTAAATAAAAGATACGTAAAGTAAACGAAATTACAGCATACTGGACATAATATCCTACCGAAAAAACACTTTGATACATCGCTTAGTCCATTTGGTAGATTGTCACCTTTATAACAATCTGCTTCAGTGTCATTGTTACGGTCAAAAACATCATATCGTAAAACGTATTTATACGCTTTTAAGTTATACATTGAAAATTCTTTTTCGAAAAATAATGGAACTTTACGGCATAATGTTTTTCGCCAAAACCAAAAAACTGTTTCTTTTGATGCTAATCCAGGGTAAATAGCTCCCTCAGTACTGCCTTTTAAACTCGCATTACAAGCTCCACTATCAATATTAAATCTTGGTACGTTAGGATGGTCATTCCATGTATTGATTGTAAAAAACTTTTTATGACCATGTTTTAAGCCAATATTCACGTTTACACGATCTGTGAAATTTTTGTACACCTACATAGTAGAAATGTAATGATGAAAAAAAAAAATACCATATCCATATGAAGTTTTAATAAATTTTATATGGGTATCATTCAATGTTACAGCATATTGTGAATATATATTTTTTAAAATTACATACATTTTGTAATATCCCTGTATCTTTTGTTGGAGCAATAAATGGAACAAACGTATTTGCTAATTGCCTGTAAAAATCACAATAAAGTACCGTCAGTAAAATTAAACCAATATGGTAATTGAAAAAAAAGGAATGAAGTTGAATGAAAATACATACAAAATCGGATCTGTCATATTGAAGAAATAATTGTAAATTGAAGTGGACACAACTGGTTTGGTTTGAAGGGTTCGTAATAAAATATTGTAAGAACGTCGCATTATAAAGCTCTTATTAATGTAAGATGCCGCACTCAGTGCCATATTTACTACATAAACTGTCTCATTTAAAATTCCCTTCAAATTCGCTGACTCCTTAAAAATGATTTGCCTTGAGACTGTATATGACATTGTAGAATTTTCGTCATGAAATTGGATGTCTTTATGTTCCAATGTCTCTTGAAATATTATTGGCCCGATTTCTTGAAGCTTTAACTTTTCATCTTTTCCAGCAATAAAATCTTCTGCATTAGTAATGTTAAAGATATAAACTTTCAATAAAACTTCTGGTACTGGATTCTTCCACAAATGAAATTGTGGAAACAATGGAGAGAATTTAAGATCTGAAATGATTGTTATGCATTAATGTAATGAAAAACAGCATACATTGCTATAATTTTGATGTACTTTCGTTTAACGAATGTTCTGACAATGGAATATATGTCGTCAGGAGGCCAAGAGTCAAAAACATAAATCCAAACAGAAGTGAAAAACCAATCGCACCTGCAATTTAATCAAAACGTGATGTCATTTTCAATCATTGTTAAAAAAAAAAAGAAAGAGATGTAACATAGCATAACAATATATAACAGAACGTCTCATACTCTAACTTTTCTCTCACGTTTCTCATTTGAATATGAAGAGCTTTGATGCTCAAAGCCTTGTAGATTTAATTCAGTGACCTTCCTCCCACAAATTTACACGTAGCATCACACAATGATCTTTTGTACTCTAGTATACTAACATGCAACTGCATGTTAGGCATCTCATCTAATATATGCAAATCTGTACGCACTACATGATAGAGGCATGCAAAGAATTACCATTTCGGTGTGGTGCTTAGTAGTCATCAAATTAATGTTCTAAATTTTGCAAATATAAAAACTTAATAAAAATTAGGAGATAAGAATAAAATAAAATAACCTTCCAGACACAAGAGAAAAAATTAATAATTTAAACTTAATTCTATTTACGATATGATGCCATGCAAAATATTGCATTCATATATGAATGACTAGACATGAACTGTATTAATCTATTTGTATAAGCATTGAAATTCCATCAAATACTTTCACTGTCAATAAAAACGTACATTTTTTTCATATACACACATATGATTAAAAATGGAATCATAAAAGCACAAAGTAGTTCAAATGTCAATGTTGTTTTTAGTTCATTATCAAAATAAATTTTAGGTGTCAAGTAAATATCAACAAATAATAATGATGCATACTTGATTCATGCCTTATCAGTATTTTTTGAAAATACGCAATTTAATATTATTTACTCACAAACATCGCAGCAGATACTTTTGCATATAAAGTTGGAATTATCGGATTCATTACATACTAATTTTGATGTCACATTCTTTTTAGAATTTGCTACATAAATGCTCTTGTATTTTGGTTCTCTCTTTTTCATTTCATTAATAGTTTTTAATTTTATATTGTTATTATTATGTTTATTATGAGCCATTTTCTTTTAATTCCTTTAATATTATATAAAGGCTGTTAAAATATAATATAATAAAAAGAAAGCTCCTCAACCTTATACCAATTTAGTAATGCAAATTAAAATGTGTAAAACTTCTTAATGTATTGTTCAATTTTTTTGTGCTTTTTCCTTTAAAATTCAAGTCACGAATTCACAATTCACTACATTATAATCTGTATTGATCGAGCATACAATTTATTTTTTTTTTTGTTTTTGCAAATAAAAATTATTCTTATCAGCTAGCAGGACGCGTGGAAAGCATTTTTAAACTTAGATTCCTATGTTTCTTTTCAATGTCATGTTGTGATAGGCGAAAACACTTGATTTCTAGTCTTTATTTTTGTTGAATTGTTCCTTCTTTTTCTCACAAGAAACTCCCTAAATTGTGGATTTTTAAATATCGTGACATCACGTAGCTCAAGTTCGTAGTAATTTTTAACGCATAAGCACGACTTAAACTTTTAAATTCAAGTACATTTAACAATTTGAGTTCATGAAATGTTTATGGCTTTTCAATTGAAATTATTTTATTACACGGTATGGTATGCTACATATGTATAAACTTTTATTTAAATAAATTATGTTCCGAAAAATAAAATAAATTTTTCATTTCAGATTCTGTTTTTCACTCTTGAGACTTTAAAATGACACTGAACTGATTTTCTACTCATCAACAGATTTAAACGAAAGTTCTCAAAATAATCAACAAAAAAATATGACAATCAAGATGCTTCTCATTTTTCTTTCTCTCATAAAGCTTCTTCATAATTACAATATACAGCTGTACGTATCAAGAATAAATTGAAGTTCAAAGTTGGTTACATTTGTATTTGTCTTCTCCGATAGAGCATAATATATTCTCGTATGAATGACTGAGTTATTTGATGATCACTTGCATGAACCGTATAATAATAGTATATTGCAGTGATATATTGGAAGAGATTGAATTTTGAGCACATTAATCAATGATATTATTCCTTCGTTCATCATAGTAAATCTTTTATTGATTGAATTATGAGCATTGATACTTTATTATACAATCATTTCCTGATGCATATCTTTTATGTTTACAACGAAGCTCTCTATCTATTGCACACGTGGACAGCATACTATTCTTTTTCCCATAACTATAAATTTTTAAACTAAATCGATCATTCTGAATTCATCTCTAAATTCATAGATATAAAACTGTAGAATAAAGGGGGGCTATAAATTAAAAACAGTGAAATAGTACTCAAGTAAAATTTCTAGTCATTCAAAATAAGGCAGTAACGCTTTTAATTTATACTATCTTTTTTGTGCTTCATGAGTGTGCTTCATGAGTGTGTTTTAAGGTAATTAAAGTAAGAGTAGAAGTCATAAAAGATGATTAAATATGTACACATTGAACATTGTTGTCTATATGTCTAGAAAGGAGCAACATTTCTGCTTAAAAATCAGATTTCCATTTTATGAAATGGACCAACTCTAGCAAAAATATGAAATGTTTCGTTAATTAAAACATACATAAGAAATAAATAATTACAATAATTAGAAAAATCAATTCAACGACGAAATTTGTGGAGAAGTCAAAATGTGGAATTGCACTTTGTTCGATCGTTCAGAAAAAAAAAAGATTTTTAACCATACATCGTAGAGACTTCGGATTTGTTTTAATAGCTCAGTTTTATTGTGTGATTAACGTGCTCGACAATTAAAAAGCTTAAAACTGCTTGAAACAATCTATTTATTCTCACCAGTGTTTACATTATAAACCGAATTATGCGAGATAAATTGTAAAAATTCTAGAAATAAGGCTTAATAGCGCGTAGTGGCTTATTAAAAAAAGGTGAATATTTTTCATTGAAATCTTAAATTTTTTTGAAAAAAGTTTTTGAGTGGTGTGAAAAAATATGTGCTGAAGTCACTCAGTAAAACACGAAGAATTTTATTTATAATAATTCTGATTTAAATTTCGTATCAAATTTGAAAAGACAATATGAAAACATCGAGTCCATACTATTAAAATTTAATCGTTTTTCATAGCTAATTTTTTTATAGCATGAAAAAAGTTTTGATACGTTTGAAAACATTGAACATTAAAATATATTACCATGGACATTTTATGTTCAACATCATCTCATTGACCATTTCACCATGAAGCTTTTTATCGTACATTTTTTTAAATATTTGTTTTGAAAGCATTCGTGATAGTTTTTTCAACTATCGAATACATTTCCAAACGAAAATTCATGCAACCAGTACTAAGGACGAGAGTATTCAAAAACAATAACATTTTTTATATTCACGCCGTTTTCACGTGTGAATTCAGATTGAAAAATTAGTTTTTCGGATTTTGTGAGAAAACGAAGCAAAATTGGTATAAAAGGTCACAGAAGAAAAGTTTGTGCCTGAATTTTTACATCATTTTCAAAAAACAGATTTCAAATTGGTTGTGGCATTGCTGAGAAAATCGCAAAATACGCTTTCTGTAAGCAAACAAGCAAGCAAGCAAGTTAATCAGCAAGAATTCTCAATAACGAGACATCGTACAGACTTCTAGTTTTTTACATTTGATCCGTGCTGCTCTATAGAAGAGCTGTATAGTTTTTGGGCAAGGTAGGAACAGCCGTTGCTTCAGAAAAAGCAAAAAACTTTCCTTTCTTACGATTTTTTTCAAATTAAAAGTTCACTGTGATTTTTTTTAAATTAAACTTTGGATGAAAAAAATTTTTTTGAGCAAAGAACCAAGTAGGAAACTTTGCATAAATATTCTAGTGCTTAAAACAAATACAAATAAAACATCCAAAAATTTTTTTGAGCAAAGAACCAAGTAGGAAATACAACTTCAATTTTGGACTAGGGGCGACCCTAGTCAAAATCAATTTTGTCACTTTTTTCTTCGAGGGTTTATACAAATGGATTGAAACTATGCATAAATATTCTAGTGCTTAAAACAAATACAAATAAAACATCCAAAAATTTTTTTGAGCAAAGAACCAAGTAGGATTTACATTTTCAATTTTGGACAAGGGGCGACCCTAGTCAAAATCAATTGTGTCACTTTTTTCTTGGAGAATTTATCCAAATGGATTGTAACTTTGCATAAATATTCAAGTGCTTAAAACAAATACAAATAAAACATCCAAAAATTTTTTTGAGCAAAGAACCAAGTAGGAAATCAATTTTCAATTTTGGACTAGGGGCAACCCTAGTCAAAATCAATTTTGTCACTTTTTTCTTCGAGGGTTTATACAAATGGATTGAAACTTTGCATTAATATTCTAGTGCTTAAAACAAATACAAATAAAACATCCTAAAATTTTTTTGAGCAAAGAACCAAGTAGGAAATACAATTTCAATTTTGGACTAGGGGCGACCCTAGTCAAAATCAATTTTCTCACTTTTTTCTTCGAGGGTTTATAAAAATGGATTCAAACTTTGCATAAATATTCTAGTGCTTAAAACAAATACAAATAAAACATCCAAAAATTTTTTTGAGCAAAGAACCAAGTAGGAAATACAATTTATAAGGCTAGGGGCGACCCTAGTCAAAATCAATTTTGTCACTTTTTTCTTCGAGGGTTTATACAAATGGATTGAAACTTTGCATAAATATTCTAGTGCTTAAAACAAATACAAATAAAACATCCAAAAATTTTTTTGAGCAAAGAACCAAGTAGGAAATACAATTTCAATTTTGGACTAGGGGCGACCCTAGTCAAAATCAATTTTCTCACTTTTTTCTTCGAGGGTTTATAAAAATGGATTGAAACTTTGCATAAATATTCTAGTGCTTAAAACAAATACAAATAAAACATCCTAAAATTTTTTTGAGCAAAGAACCAAGTAGGAAATCAATTTTCAATTTTGGACTAGGGGCAACCCTAGTCAAAATCAATTTTGTCACTTTTTTCTTCGAGGGTTTATCCAAATGGATTGAAACTTTGCATTAATATTTAAGTGCTTAAAACAAATACAAATAAAACATCCTAAAATTTTTTTGAGCAAAGAACCAAGTAGGAAATACAATTTCAATTTTGGACTAGGGGCGACCCTAGTCAAAATCAATTTTCTCACTTTTTTCTTCGAGGGTTTATAAAAATGGATCGAAACTTTGCATAAATATTCTAGTGCTTAAAACAAATACAAATAAAACATCCAAAAATTTTTTTGAGCAAAGAACCAAGTAGGAAATACAATTTATAAGGCTAGGGGCGACCCTAGTCAAAATCAATTTTGTCACTTTTTTCTTCGAGGGTTTATACAAATGGATTGAAACTTTGCATAAATATTCTAGTGCTTAAAACTATACAAATAAAACATCCAAAAATTTTTTTGAGCAAAGAACCAAGTAGGAAATACAATTTCAATTTTGGACTAGGGGCGACCCTAGTCAAAATCAATTTTCTCCCTTTTTTCTTCGAGGGTTTATAAAAATGGATTGAAACTTTGCATAAATATTCTAATGCTTAAAACAAATACAAATAAAACATCCAAAAATTTTTTTGAGCAAAGAACCAAGTAGGAAATACAATTTTTATTTTGGACTAGGGGCGACCCTAGTCAAAATCAATTTTGTCACTTTTTTCTACAAGGGTTTATACAAATGGATTGAAACTATGAATAAATATTCTAGTGCTTAAAACAAATACAAATAAAACATCCAAAAATTTTTTTGAGCAAAGAACCAAGTAGGATTTACATTTTCAATTTTGAACTAGGGGCGAATTTAGTCAAAATCAATTGTGTCACTTTTTTCTTGGAGAGTTTATCCAAATGGATTGAAACTTTGTATAAATATTCTAGTGCTTAAAACAAATACAAATAAAACATCCAAAAATTTTTTTGAGCAAAGAACCAATAGGAAATCAATTTTCAATTTAGGACTAGGGGCAACCCTAGTCAAAATCAATTTTGTCACTTTTTTCTTCGAGGGTTTATCCAAATGGATTGAAACTTTGCATAAATATTCTAATGCTTAAAATAAATACAAATAAAACATCCAAAAATTTTTTTGAGCAAATAACCAAGTAGGAAATACAATTTCAATTTTGGAC